GATTATTTAATCTAATTAGATATTTGCAAAATGAAATATAATTTAAAATAATGAGGCAAATGAATCAATAAAAGAATACAAAGATTTGTTGTTAATTTTACGGTTCTCAAAAAATTTAAAATGCTGCAAATCTCAAAGATGAATTATTCATTTAGGAAATCAGTTTGAATTGGATGATAATAAATGATTATTTTATGATTTTGGATTGATATTTGTCGCATATTCTGAGCGATTTCATTTCTCTAATAAACTCAATTAAATTATCATATTGAATTGCTTAGATTTTTAAATTTAAGTGTTTTCTAAGCAATACATTTTAAAAAAATGAATTTAAGCAATCGGGTACTAACAGTTTTCTCCAAATTATCCAACATATATGTACGTAAATCTTATTCACTGCTCATTATTCATGATATGGCAGCTATTTACCCAATATTTCCTCTCCCAAGTTAGTTTTATATGATATAAATGTATGCATAAAATTTTTAATTTTTCTTACTTTTTTAAGTTTTATAATACTTTTTACCAATTTTATGAATTTTATGAAACCATTTCAATATTTCTCTTTAATAATTTCTCGTTAATATTTTTTGTTGGTCAATGTATTTTCTATCATTTTTACCATTTTTAATGCATTTTTTAATATTTTTTATATTTTGATAATTTTCTAATTTTTGATAATTTTGTTTGATAATTAAATTATTTGATAATTTTTTAAATATCGTTTTACCTCGTTATTTTGGCAGCTTATTTTTATTTATTTATTTTATTTTTATTTACAGCCTATTTGTTTTTCTTATATTTTAATTTACCTTTCTCTATCTTCAAAACGAATCTTTAATAAAAATTTGCGAAATTTCTTCTTCCTTCCAATAGCAGAGGCATTCAGTTTAGAATTTCGATGAAGAAACGGGGAACGTTTTGAGAAATGAAAATTTTAAAGTCCCGAAATCGGGGTTCTTTACCATTCTATCATAGTTGGACATTATTTTTGCTGCATGCCTTATTACAGTCTTTCTTCTTTATCCCATAATTAACTGGCGTACCTCTACCAAATATAATTGGAAGGCTTTTGCCATGAAAAAAATTTACGTTAGCATAAATAACGAACGTCATGAACAAGACTAAATTTAGAAAACATGGCTGAGAATGCTCATGAACACAGAATAAATGTTATAAATCTCTTCACAGAAAAGAAAGCAGTCACTCAGCGATCATTAATCTCACCAATAATGAATTGTCGGGTACCACTGATCATCTGTGATTCCACTCTCATTTTGTTATTTTTCGTTAGGCGACATTGTAGTTCAGCGAAGAACGATGCATTAACAAATTCACCCAGTCTTCTATTCTCGGTCACCTTACTCGACCACTAGGCTACCGATGCACCAAGATTTGACACCATTGTAATTGACCGCAAGATTTATCGACTTGATCGTTGGTCATTTTATGTTTGCAGCTGACCTCACGATTTATCAAGTTAGTCATTGTATGGACTTTTAAGTTTTCGAATGCATGGCCACGATTTTTGTCTAATTTCTGCTCGGTTTTTATAATTTGTATCTTTGGATTTTTGTTTTCTAAATTATTTATAGTTTCGTAATTTAAATTTTTTAAGTTCTCATCTTGAAATTTTCTTTTCTTCAAAAATATTTCTAAAATAGCAAAGGTAATTTTTAAATGGTAATTCGCGATTATAAAAAATAGTGATAAGTTATCAGCGATTTTTAATCTTTTCACTTCGAAAAATCGTCTTATCGTTTTTTTTCTGTTTTCCATTATTAATTTCATTTCTCGAATGTCTATTCTTAATCTATTTGGCGAAAAGAGAGTAGATTTTTAAATGGTAGATTAACTCCTGTTTGAGCTAAGAATCAAGCATTTCAGTACGATAATCTCGGCTATTCTTCCCCCCCCCCTCCCCTCCCCCTCCCCTATATATATATATATATTGGTTATTAATATTTATTTATTTTAAAAAATTTTACTTAAAATTTATTCAAAAATAATTTTTTTTTCGTAATTCTTTTGGTTTGTTTATTTGTTTTATAACGATTATTGTCATTATTCAGAAAATCGAGAAAACCTGAAAATTTGTGGAATATTTCGAAGTATATCATTATTATTATTATCATTATTCTCGTGAAATTTTTGCTGAAAGATCTCTAAAGGATGGCAAACAATCCAATCGAAATTGATTTGCCAAATTATAAAAATAATATTTCGAATCCAAAGATGCTTGAAGCACCACTTGGTCCATTCTCAGCGGTGGATTTAACTATAGGTAACGTACATCTTACTTTATTTTACGATCTTTAAAATAGCTCAGTAGATTGCTGCTGACATTTTGAGGTGCCAGTGGTTTTGAGGTGGTATTCTCTGCAGGATTAAGCATATATTTGAAAAAACTGGGTGATACTGGCTATTCGATCGCCAAGTGACCAAAAATTGCATCAGCAAGTCAGAGTAAGTCACCATAAATGGTGGGCATTCTTAGATAAAAATTCATTATTATTATCAAATGATAATTACATAACATTTAAAATAATAATATGAATTTTCAGTTAATAATTATCTTGTTCATTTTATAGATAATTTATTACCTATAAGTATACAAAGAATTCAAATATATAAAATATATTTTTAATAAATAAATGATAAACAAATGAAACTGACTGATAATTTAGTGCTTGTTACCAAAATTCTTATCATTTGTACTTTAGATGGACATTTGTTGTGCTTCGATGAGAAGAATGATCAAATTATTAGTATAAATATAAAAACTGGACAGTGGATACGTTTTTCCGTTCCTGAAAACTTACGCTTCCAGTATTTTTACTGGGCAAATTTGTTATCCTTATCCGGGTTATTCTTTTGTTTTTGTTCTATTTTATTAAAAATAAAAATCTTTTCTCCAAAGTGCTACTAAAATCATATAGATTTTCTTTCGTAAGCATAACATATTTTGAAATATTTTAATTGAGTCGTGTTTTACTCCACTTGATGGCTAATATTATGGAGTCGAGTCCATTCTTCTGATAGGAGTACGGCTTTCATTAAAATATGCCTTCATCCTCTGATTCTCTAAAAATGTAAAAGTCACCAATGGGTCCAATCAAAAAAAAGAAAAGGTACATGGTGTTGAAGAATGATGAAAAAACAGATCATTGAATGCTAAATTTGATTTTTAGAGATATTTTGCTCGTTTTTTTAAAAGAACGTAAAACTCGTATATATTACCTCATAACGTTGAAATTGAATTTCGAAAAATCAGTGGCTACAATCATTTCAAAATCAAAAACAACGATAAAATTTGGCGGATACTGCGTAAGCATTTTAATTCTTATTAATTTCAGGATGTTTACGTTCCGCGAAAATTTAATATTTTCTCTCAAACTGCATTATTAGTAGTACGAGAAAGCCACAAGCCAAGAGCTGTCTGGCTTAGTAAACCTATGGGATCGCCATTTTCAATTACTTTACGGTAGTCAAAACAGCAATTTTAGCAATTTTCAACGATAATTAGTTGAAAAAATTTGCGAATAGCAAAGAATTTAATAAGAAAGAGAGAAAACTAATAAAATATATTTCAGGTCAGTGTTCAGAAAAAAAATAAAGAATTATATTTCAGTCTTTATGGTAAAAAATCTTTTGAAAAAAATGAGAGAGAAAATATTTCTATCATGGAAATTTTTTTGGAACAATTCCTTCCTCGAAGCGGTTGTTCCAGCAAACCAGGTCGGTTCAGTTTTTATAATAATCCTATCTCAGTCCCTTATTTTCACTGCTGTCATTGACAATAGAAAACAAAATTATGAAAGGGAAAAACATTTTCCACAGACTAATGGGATCACTCTCACCAGAATTGTTTGGAAATCACATGATCACGATTTTTGGTGATAGTCTATCTCATACTTATCTAGGTATTTCTATATAAGTACCTAGGTATTTAACCTGAAGTTAGTTCACCTTACTTTGTTTACCTTCCTCTGGTTTACCAGTCCTTCCCGAGGATTAGAATGAGAATCAAATTTATCTGAGAATGGACCAGGAAGAACTTTATTTTTTATTTTTTTTATCGAATCAATGAAAAATCGAATATTTTTTTTCAGTAACAGATAAAAAGGCCTTAAAAAATTATATAATTAAGAAAATTTTTAAAAAATTGGAAAAAACTTCTGAAATAGAAACAGTTATTTTGCGAGTGAACTGTGACGACCAAGGAAAAATTAAGGTTAAAAATCTTTTAAAAAAAGTTTTTGAATTAAAACAACATTTGATAAAAGCATCTTTCGCCTCTTCTGATTAGACTCATTCATTTGGATTGTCTGATTGGGCAAATTTTGCTAAGGAATCACTTAGAGATGGATCGTCAGCAGACTTGTCCAGACTTCTGGAAGGCAGGTTTACACCTAGATTACCTCGTCAATAATGGACCTTTGCCGCTAATAAGCGTAAATCTGCCATTAAAAATCCAAGTAACATTGAGACAGTGGCGAATTTGCCTTATTCTGCAGCCATTAGAGCCAAATGTCTTACCAGAATCGGTCAGTACTAGTTGAGTTTGACTAAACTGTGTAATTAATTATTATAGATGATTTGATATTCATTGATATTTGATTTTAGTCCAACATTTTATCCTTAGGACGAGCTCAATGCTTTTCCGTTAGCGATGTTTTTCTACCAAAAATGGATTCAATTAATGCATTGCTTCATTTCGCAACAACTTTACCTACAAAGACAAAGTTTTTTTCCACTTTTAATAAACTAAATAAATTTTTAATTTTTAATTAAGAAATTAAAAATTTCCAATTTAAAATTTCCATAGTTTTTACTTCGGAAAAATCACCTATTTTCTCCGTAACAAAAAGGATTAGTAAAAATTAATTCTTTAATGATACCTTTTTTTTAGGATAACTTCTTTATCAGTTTGCAACCCGTTTTATGCTAATGGATTCCTTTATTTTATTGACCGGATGAATCCGAAACAAGCGTTTGTTTTTAAAACATTTCCGGATCCAGAACGAGGATTTATTGCTTCTTTTCAAACCAGGTTTTGAAAATTATTCATTTAATTTATTGAGTGATTAGTAATTACCATTTTTAATTCTCACTACGATAAGGAATTTTCGCTAGAGATTCATTATAGCATTACCAGTGAGTCCACAGCGGTACCCATATTTCTTAATAATAAGCTTACTTCTCTTAATGGCTTAGTTGATTTTACATAAGATATAAAATATGATTAATATTCCAGAATTGCTCGATCCGGAATTATTACAAAATGCTCAGTGAAAAAAGCAGCGATTGATGGTTCATCCGGTATGCCATATGTTGGTGATGAAATTATATGGAGTAATGTTCAAATGTTCAACAACAGTGCATTTTTCCTTGTACAAGTAAGCTCGAAAACATTTTTAGCATTTCTTTTCAAAATTTTACTTGAAAAAAAGTGAAATATTTTAAGGATCTAAAAATTAACACTTGTGTGCTGTGGCGTATTCAATTGGATTCATCAACTGCAGAAGGAAATTCGAAAGATTACGAAGTATTCTTAACCTTTAACACTTTCAAGTTTTCTTTTATTTTTTTTAGATGCTAGAGTGATAAGAAAAATCATTGTCGAAAAAAAACGGATTTAATATTGCGAAAGTTATGAAAACCTTAAATTAAAAAAAATTTTTTTATAAAATTTGCTAGAAATAGAGGAAATAAATGGAACTAAATTTCATGGAAAAAAATATAATAAAAAATAATAATTAATAATAAAAATTAAGTTGAATGAAATCCACAGTGATAAAAAAGCCAAATCAAATGATAAATTCCAACATTGTCCAGCTATTGATACCAATGATTCGAACTCATTCAGTAAGTATTTTTTATTTTTCTTGTAAACTTCAAAATTTTCTTATTATTGCAAAACCCATCCGATAAAAGCGTGCCTCTGGCATTTTTTTAGTTTCGGATAGAAATATAGATGCATCACAATCGCTGATTTTATCACTTCATCATTATCATTTATTTATTTTTTAAGGCTATAGCAAACTTTCTCTTAAAAATAACTCAAAACGCAAATTCTCTAACTCTCTAAAATGGCAAAAAATTCAAGAATTTCATGTTTCAATGTTCAAACTATTCGACAATAGTGCATTACATTTTAACGTAAAAGAGAATTACGCATCTGTTAAAGGTCTTAAAATTGACTGTAATGGAAAAACACTTGGCCATTGTTTCATTGCCTTCCATGTTCAATATAATTTCGAAAATGGAATTCCTTCAGTCGCTTAGGAAAAAAATCATAGAAAAATCTTAGAAAAAAATTTAGAAAGAAATTCATTTTCTTGATTTTTTTGATTTATTGAATAAATAAGCATTCCTATTAGCAATTATATTTTATTTTTTATTGTAATTTTCTTCTTTTTTTGTAATTTATTAGAAAATGGCAAACGCTTTAAATAGAAATGATAAGCGTCGCCATCGTTGAAATTTCGTCATTTAAATCTTTTAACGAAAGAGAAAATTCCTTCACAAACCCTCAAATCTCTGAAATTTTCTATAATTGTCAAATTTGACATTTCCCTTAAAAGTCAAATGAATATTTATATATATACGTTATATGTATATTTGGGCAAATGTGTTTGAATTTGAATTTGTTACGATTTTTTTGTAAAAAAGATATTTTTATAATTAATATATGAATTTTTTTTCACAAAACTCTAACGAGATGATATTTGAAAGAAAATATCAGAGCTCTTCGAAAATAAAACGCTCAACTGGCCCTCTAATAAAACAGATTAATAGAGATTTTGCATTAATAATTTTAATGATTAACATTTTATAATTATATTTTATATAATTATATTTATAATTATATTTCATATAATTATATTTATAATTATATGTCAATTATATTTTTATCAATTATATCCATTTGCCGATAAAAATATTTGCCGATAAATAAATATAAATATAAATCAAAAAAGAAAAGAAAAATTCAATGAAACATGAACATAGCTGCTTATAGGAATGTGTCATATATGTTAAATAAAGGCCGTTAAGTGGCCTTTTCTAAAAATTTCATGTTAACTGTTTGTCACTATTTTTATGATGATTTTAATTTTTAATTATGGTTTTTATAAGAAAATAAAAGATATTGTTTCGAATGAGATTTTAAAAAAAACAGCCCCTCAATAGTACCTCAAAAAGCCCCTAGGAAATCCCCAAGTGGCTATCCCCAGTTTTATGAAACCTACCTCAAGAGTACCTCAAAAAGCCCCTAGGAAATCCCCAAGTGGCTATCCCCAGTTTTATGAAACCTACCTCAAGAGTCCCTCAAAGAATCCAGGTGGCATTTCTTATTTTTCCCGAATTTGCCTCAATTGTCAAATGAACATAGCTTCAATGAATTTTTGAATTTTTGAATTTGTTGAATTTTTTGATGATTTTTTGTAAAAGGATGAGTCATATATAATTTAGACCAATTTTAGTCACAATTTTTGTAATGAGACGATATTTGCAAGAAAATAGTGGGATCGTCCTCAAAAATCTCCCGGTTAGGATCCCTAATTAACCATCCCTAATTTTGTGAATTCTCCCTTAGGAGTCCCCGAAGATCTCTCGGGCTAAATCTCTCAGGTCGCCTTCCCTTCTTTTGCAAAGTTTTTCTCAACATGTTCATTTGACTGTTGAATAAATATTGGATCTTTTATAATTTTTCGTAAGAAATGAGTTATTTATATGTAATTTATATGGGTTTTATTCAATGAATATTATTGAATAAAAACTGCTAAATAAGTTGCAGAAGAACCAAATGATAAACAGGTTTCTTATGAATGGAAATATATTGTAAAAATAAAATAAAAAATGAAATAGAGAGAAGTCAAATTCTTAAGGATAAATTCTTAATAATAAAGAGAAAAATAAAATTCATGTTTGACAACCCAAGAAAGCAAAGGTTCCCAATTATTGAGGTTAATACTGTAAGAAAACAATAGAAAAATCTCAAAAATGTCGGAGGCAAGACTCCCCGAGTGGCCATACCCAGTTTTATGAAACCTACCTCAAGAGTCCCTCGAAAGCCCTCAGGCAATATTCCCTATTCTTTCCAAGTTTGCCCCATTGAACATATTCATTTGACTATTGAGTTTTTTATGGTTCTTATGGTAAAAAAAAAAAGATGAGTTATATATAATATAATTTCTATGGGTTTCATTGAGTGAATTCATTATTGTTGAATTAAAATTATTGTTGAATTCATTTCTCCTTTGTGATGTTCTTAGAAAAAAATGAAAAAATTCGAGACGAATAAATAACTATATCAAGATCATAGTGAATCAATACTATGGTTTTTTTATTTAAAATTCATTTTAAATAAAATAGTTTTATATAAAATAAGTCTAAATAAAGTGTTAAATAAAATAATTTTAAAGACTTTTCGAAAAAATTATGAGCGAAAGAACGAAACGTACGATAAATTTTAAAGGATGGCAAAATCGACAAAATAGCGAAAAATCGACGAAAGAGCGAAAAAGAGCGAAAATTTTAAAACATCATTAAATTGTTATTAAATAACTATCTTATATTTATCCTATTATTTATGCAATATTTATCCAAATGTATTTTGAGTATTCTTTAAAAATTGCCACTTCTCTCGAAATCATATTTCATGCGAATAAGCAATTAAGACTGTTGAAATCCGAATTACGAAGCCGAATTCCTTTTGACAACAAAAAAACTTAAAAGCAAAACTCATGAAATTTTTAATACTATCATAGCAAATTAGCCTTCCTTAAAAATTTCTCATAATACTCTCCTAATAATTAAAAATCAAAAAGGATTGGTGGGTGGGAATTATTTAAGTTTGCTACACGTTTTATAACGATTATTTTCTCGGCTTCCGTTTAAATTCAATTCTTCAGTTATGAAATTAATTCAAATATATTTCATTTAAGATTCAGAATGAAAATTTAGATTTCGCGGCACGAAAAGTTGGATTATATCGAATTTGGCATTATTTTTGTCAATGGGCGCTATTGTAGTGGACCAGCAATATATGGACTTAGATTCCATTTTCGTTCGAATACCATTTGCATAAATAATGTTGACAAAGCGCTGCCTTCTCTGGTTAGGGCACATTCTCCGTCGTCCACCACAGGAGTTGACGCATATTTCGTTATTTGCTAAACCGTGACGGTTGGCGTCAAAAGCGAGATGGGCCAATAAAGACCTTGGCTGATACGGTCAGGAAAGATTTTGAACGTATAGGTGGACCAGCAAAAGACTTAGACGATGGAAAAAGGAATGGCTTCCATTACTGTCGACGATGGCATCAGACCGCGCCGCTTGGAAGCGTCTTACCCTTATAGCCAAGCCAGCCTAACCAGTAATGGTGAGAGCTGTTAAAAGAAGAATTGTAGTGAGGCATATCGAGACATTCAACATAATCCATAGCCAATTGATGCTGTTCCGTATCGTCAATTATACGTGCGCTGCTTGGTCTATTAAGAAACGAAATTTTTTCTATGTAATAGCTATGTAATAGCTGTTAGATCGATAGGGCGAGAGTAGGTTTCAATATATTATCTATGTACACATATAATTCCGATCCAAATAGACAAATAACTACTGGCCAAACAACCTACCAGATTTCGTGATACTTGGAATCAGAGATTGACTGGTGATTGATATAGCAATATTCCACATCAGAAAAAAGGGATATGAGAGAAGTATCAGGAGCTGAACTAGAGAAGGTGTGGAAAGTAAAGATTAAAAGTCTAATTCCAACTGATAATTGGAGCACTTGGAACTGTGACTACTAAGATAGAAAATGATAATGGCTTTAATGGGTTCCGGTGACAACGGTATCAATCAGAGATATCGATCCAGAAGAATGCATTATTACGAATGCGTAAGATATTGCGCAGAACCCTCAACAAAAATCACGAATTACGAAATTTCAGCAAAAATTTCGAACAAGAATAGTGATATGGATAATTCGAAATATTCCATAAACTTTTACGAATGAAACTAATCGTATTAAAACAAATAAAGAAACCCAAAGAATTAAGAAAAGAAAATAATTTTTTAAAAAAAAATTTTAAAAAATTCTTTAAAATAAATAATAATAAATATTACTATTATAATAAATATAACTAATAGAGGAGGGGAGAATAGCCGAGATTATCGCTTTGAGATGCTTGTTTCTTAGCTTTGGTGGGAGTTAAGCTGCTGTAAAAAAATCTTGGTGCTCAATTGCCCTCTTATCGCCAAATGGCAAATATTCTTACCCGTGTTACGGAGCGAAGCGACCCTCATCAGAAATAATGGACCGTAACCATCACTTATTATTTTCAACTACCCTTACAACTATAATCAGTCATATTATTGTTTTTGCTTTTATCATTGTCACTATTATTATTTATTACTAAATAAAGGAAAAATAGTTTTGGATCAGCCAATTTGTGCTATCGATATATGATAAAATTATTATGTACATACACTTATTGTATTTTGATATTTGTGCGTGTTATATTTCAGAAAAAAAGGTAATAGATTTATCGTATAACGCTTCTATCCTTTTAGGAAAGTATATTACTATAGTCGGTTAGTGTGACCAGCAAAATGGATACGTTATATTAAAAAAAAATTTAAATCAACTCATCCAACTACTATAAATTCAATACAAATAATAATATAATGAAACTTTCTAACAAGGGTACCATTTAAAATTATCACCGAAATTATTTGATTTCCTTATCACCAAATAAATTAAGAATAGACATTCGAGAAATAAAATCAATAATGGAAAAAAGAAAACAACGATTTTTCTGACCAATAAATAAATCAAAAATCATTGATAACTTATCACTACTTTTTATACAATTATAGTTGTTATAATTATTATGCAACAATTGTAGTTATTTAAAAAAATACATTTTAGAAATTTTTTTAAAATTTAAAAAATTTAAAACATTTTAAGACTTAAAATAAAAAAAATATTTTTGACGAAAAAGTGAAAATGATAAATTTTGAAAAGCGAAATTTCAAGGTAAAAAATTGCCAAAAAAAAGTCATAAAATTCACAAGTCATAAAGTCATAAAGTCACAAATAAATTGCAAAATAAAGTTATAAATTATAAAATTATAAAAATATAGCTCATAAAAAAATAAACATAATAGAAAATGGACAAAAAGCGTGGCCATGCACACCAACGATCAAGTCGAAAAATAGTGCGGCCAATTGCAAGTACCAAATATACAGTGATGCCAAATGCTGGTGCGTCGGTGAC